TCATGGGCATATCCCCTGCCACCTACCCTCACTCAGCTAACAAGCAAAGGTCAGAAAGACCTCAGAGTGATCTGTTAGAAGAAAGAATGCCAAGAGCTATGGTCACATCACATTGTCCCCACCTGTCAGAAACGGTAAACTTCAGATTGCTTGGTCTTAAAAACATTCTTCAGCTCTAGAAATGTCCCTGCAGAGGAATAGATAGGCTTATGCATGTCGTCTTTTTATCAGCTTTTGGTACCCCCTGCTGGTGAAATAGTGTGACCCAGTTGGCAAAAATCTCAGAACAGCTAGAGAAAAAACATTGCAAGTTTCAGAAGTCATAAGTACTTGAGTCTTGAAGCATCTGAAGATTCCATGAGTTATGTGACTATACTATATATCATGTAACTTATTTTATGTGATTAAAAAAAAAAACATTCTGTAGCTATGGCTATTCGGTGGGCTCTGGGTGGGGAGGGGATTCTGACTTCTGTAAACATTCCATTAATTCTGCAAACATACCAAGAATTCTATGACAACCACCGGAAGAAAATGCTAAGTTGTCAGCCAAAAATATTCATAAGTAGAAATATTTCAGGTCACAAACTAATTTTGTGCAAGTTTTTCTTCCTCTTTCCCTCTATGTATCTTTTTTTAAAGTGGTTATAATTTGCAGTCAGAGTACGATGGCAATCTTTTCTGCACTTCAAATTGTAGACTTTAAAAAAAAATTGTACAACAAATTTATTGAGCACTGGCTATGTGCCAGATACTCAGCAAGAAATTGGAGAAGGTGCAGAAGTCAAAAGCCCTTCACCCAAGAGGTTCTTGCCCTGGTGGGTGGGAGAGTTGAATCACTTCAGTTCAACTAGACAGGTGCTTAGCTGACATGGCAACAAGGCTTTCCTTGATCTGCTGAGAGGGTTCAAATCACCTATGGGCATTCTCATAGCTCCATGCATTTCTCTCTTTGGCTTTCATCACTTTTGTGATTTTATATTTGTTTCTGTATTTATCTATTTAGCACCTGTCTTTGCCCACTAGCATCTGTGTTCTGTGAAGGTCAAGGTTGTGACTGGCTCTTGTCATTGTGATTGTACATCCAGCAGAGACTGGGACATGTATGTGCTCAATAAATATTTGTACAGCAGATGAGTCAACTGGGACATGTAGGTGCTCAATAAATATTTGTACAGCAGATGAGTCAACCAAGAAGAAAAAGCCAAAAATCTATTTAGAGGAGCAAGAGAAACATCATAGGAGAGGTGACATTTGAATACCACTGAGCCTTGAAGGATGAAGAGGAAGTGGCCAGTGGAAAAGAATTGGGACACAGGGATATAGAGTATTGAGGAATGGCTGGAGGGTGAAGATGAAGTAGTTGGTGTTTCCTAAGAGGAGGTGTGTGTGGAAGATGAGGCTGAATTGAAGCTTGGAGACATAGCCTGTGAGTCTTTCATCCCCTACTCATAGGCTTGGATTTTCCCCTCTCTTAAGGAAACAAAGGGAGGAGAATCAGTTAAGCTCTATGGCTATAGGAATAAACATGATTTTTCCTGTATTACCGAGAGGGCTTTTTAATACTTCAATTTTGAATTCTGGTAAAATATAAATCCCAAAACTATAGCTTTGTGTTTCATTTCTTTCTACGTACCTTCCTTCTATTTCCACTTTGTAGCTGTGTTTGCCAGGTGCTGAAAGACCTGTCTATACAGTTTTAAATTATTATATAGCATCATCATCACTGTGAACCAACCTATAGTGTCAGCCATGGGCTAAATACTAAGGATGCCATACTCCTGAGTTTTTACAACTTGATTAACTGTCCAGGTTTTAAATATCTGTGTTTTGGAGAAGCTCAGTTTTTCATTTTTCATCCAGGTTTTCAGAGCTGCCCAAACATTTCTGTAAAATACCATTTTTCATAGAAACAGTGAGACCTTTTTTTATTACTATTATTCCTTTGGAAACAAATGATTTGTGCCTAAGACAACTCTCTCCATATTATTTTCCCCCTAATGGAATGAGATTGGTTGGGAGTTCTGCCCCTACGGAAATATCAAAGCCTCTAGTACACACTCACTTCTAGTTTTAAAGTTAACTTTCTTATTGGATTTCCTTTTATTTCCTGCTCAGGCAGTGTGAGCAGAGCTCAGAGAGAGGCAACAGATCTGCTGTATATCTTTTCAAATTTATGATTAAGAAGGTCACATATACATTTTTAAACATACTCCTTTTTGATAATAAATGAAGAATAAAATTTCGAAATGTCATCAGTAGTAGACCACTCATTTCTCTTTCATTGACGCCCTCCCCCTGCCCCCAGTCTGATTGCCTGGTGATGGAGAGAAAACCCAACTGATCCAGTGCTTCACTCTTCATTGTTTACTGTCTGCCAGGAATAGTCTGACTACTAGAAGAGAATGCCTGTAGCCAGGGTGCCAGGGTGGCTCAGTGGTTGAGTGTCTGCCTTTGGCTCAGGTCATGATCCTGGGGTCCTGGGATCAAGTCCCACTTCAGGTTTCCTAAAGGGAGTCTACTTCTCCCTCTGCCTATGTCTCTGCCTCTCTCTTGTCTCTTGTGTCTAGGTCTCTTGTCTCTTGTAAATAAATAAATAATCTTTTTTAAAAAAAGAGGAAAGAAAGAAAGAATTCCATTTTAGGTTATATTTGTCTTCAAATTGTGGCAAAATTGGGGAGATAAAATTATTTTCTTGGTGGGGATTTCCTGGATTCAGATTCGCTCTTCCTGCTTCTCCACTCTGCTCTTTGCTTCCAGAGCTAGATCTGCATGGACTCCAGGCCTCTGGCTTCCAGTTGGGTTTAGCTAATAAGAGCCACTGTTCAGAGGTTAGGATGTAGTCAGGGTGTTTATACCTCTGCTTCCCTTCCTGGGAGGAGCAACTAGATCCTTTGAGAGAAGACTGCTGCTTCTGGGCAGGTGGTCTTTCATTTTCACAACTCTCTCCTTCTGGGTTCTGGTCACTGCTTCTTCTGCTTGTCTCACTGGACACATGGGTGGCCATCAGCTCACCGGTCACTCTAGTGGACCTTGGGTTCCCCTTCACCCTTCTTTCGTCAGTAGTCCTTTTGCACATAAACTCTCCCCAAATTGTCCCCACTTGAGTGTGCCATCTGTCATTTTTCTGTGCGATCCACATCTAGATTGAGTGACCCATGTGAAAAGGATCACTATCATACCATCAAACCAGAACTCATCCTAGATGAACTCCTCTAAGATACTTCTGTATATAGGATTATTCTTTCATTTCAAATCTCCTCTGACAGGGAGATCATTACCTCTTGAACTGCGTATTTCTTGACCAGGCAGCCTCCATTTTGGAAATTATTCCCTACATGGCGTTGTATTTGACATCTCTGAGAGATCTGTTGTTTCTGTGTTGAGTTAGGAGTGATCAAGGTTGAAGTTGAAGCCAAGACCTATGGAAAAAGGAGCAAGAGACCTGAGAGAATTTATCCCCAAGATTTAAAGTACCTATCAGCTTCCATGTCACAGGAACAAAATAACTGTATTTAGAATCAGAAATGTGGGGAAATCTCAGAGGAACCATGTTGATTTTTTTTTAAAATTTGAAGAACTGTGATATGCAAGAGGTGTTAGTCAAGTCTTTGTATTTCTAATGATCTCAGAACAGTCAGTTAAGATTTAAGAGAATTAGATTTGAAATCCACATGAAGAACTTTTTAACCCTTTAGCTTCTGGGGGAGGTGTTAAGATCTATACCACTTGATATCCAGGGACTTCATGGTGGGTCTCTTGGACTGTTGTTGGACCAATACGGTTGATATAAAAATAAGAATAGCAGTTGCCATGTGTTGAATGTTCTCTGTATGCCAGGCACCGTGCTCCATGTACTTCACACTTGATCTCATTTCATCATCATGACCCTCTGCGGTTGGTCCTGTTGTCTATCACAGTACATAGAGGGTAAGGTTCAGAACTTGAAGAGGTTAAAGTAATTACTGGGGAAATGCAGCCAGCACATAGCAGAGATAGGATATGTACTCATGACTTCCTGATGCCAAAACCAGTGGTTTTAATCTGCAGTGGATAATGTCAGAATGACTTGGACTAGGTGGCCACATACAAGCCCAGCCCCTGTCCTGCCTCCATGAGCAAGGGCCTCTGTGTGCTTTTATCAGATCTTGAAATGATTCTAATTTCCACCAGAGTTTGGGAGCCACTGTTTTAAACTAGTATTATTATAAATGCAATCTGGTTCTGAGGATCTTTTATTTCTATGAGAATAATTAGTCATCAAGTTCAGCTTCCAGTTTTCTCTTTTGAGCTACACGACTGTCTACCCCCCCCCACCCTCACTTTAACCAACTACCAGCTCCTACTTGAGTCTACCATTGTTTGGTGTATTATTTTGCCATCTTTGTCCCTCTGAGAAAGGTCAGACTCCATTTTGAACCTCAGTCAGAGCCTTAGGAACAGAAAGATCCATCCAGCCTCTTTCTCCCTTTGGAAGGAGAGCATGGGAAGCATCATACAAGTCTCACTGATTTCCCTTTTTTTTTTTTTAATAAACTTTTTTTTTTTTGGTGTTCAATTTGCCAACATATAGAATAACACCCAGTGCTCATCCCGTCAAGTGCCCACCTCAGTGCCCATCACTCAGTCACTCCCACCCCCCACCCATCTCCCCTTCCACCACCCCTAGTTCATTTCCCAGAGTTAGGAGTCTTTCATGTTCTGTCTCCCTTTCTGATATTTCCCATTTTAAGCTCAAATAAAGAACAAACCTATTGCTGAAGGTGAGCCAGGATAAGTTTCATATTTCTGAGTAAATGAAAACCATTAATAGTTTTAGGAGGACTTAGGCTTATTCTTCCTTGACATTGGAGTACCTATCTTGACTGTTTCTGGAGAATGCATCAGGTTTGGGGTTTAAGGATGATGAGTGGGGAAGAAGAGCAATCTAATCTTCCCAATGCTTTACTATAACTGAAACCATCTGACTGTGATTTTTTCCTCTTGCACATGTCCCAAAGGAAGCTGGCCAAGAAGCAGAAGGAGACACAGAGTGGAGCCCAGAGGGAGATGGGGCCTGTGGCCTCAGCCGACAAACCCACTACCAAGCTCAGCACCAGCCGCAATGATGAAGGCTTCTCCTCTAGCTCTCAGGATGTTAATGGATTCAGTAAGTTGAGCCAACTAGGGGGAGGGGAATGTCCATGGTCCACCTTGACCCTGGTATCTCTGCTGTGGACCCCTCACAGTGGTCATATGCTATAGGACATGGGCTCAGGATGTTTCCCTGAGATGATCAAGGATGAAGGTTCTCCCTGGATGACTTGGAGCAGAGTTAAGTGCTTAGGGAACTGAGACTCAGAGAAGCAAATTCTCCAATGTCCCAGGGCTGATGAGTAACATATCCAGACCTGGAACCTGGGCCTCCCATGCCTGGCCAATTCCAAGCCACAGCCAGTGTTCCAAGTGGTATTCAGTCAAGAGCACCTGAGCTCCCATGCAGAGTTGATACAGGATCCAAGCCGATAGAAATGGCTAAGACATCAGGGTTCACCCTAGTCCAAAGGAGAATCTTAAGACTGGCAACATTTAAAGCTACCTTGGTGGTCAGACTCAAGAGGGCTAACTTTAGTTCTCACATTTCTTTGAGGATCCTGAGGATATCCTGAGGATAATCCTCCAGGATTTAATAGAAAGGCCAGATCTCCCAGCCTCTGCTCCAGATGGGGCATTCAGAAACTCTAAAGGAATATGAGCAGAGACAAATGTCCTCCACACACTGTGCCAATGGCAAATGGAAGAAGCCCTAATTCATAAAAATCACATAGATACGATCAGTTTGGGGTGGTAGGGAGTCTATGAGAAAAAATGAAAACAGGAAACAAATATTTATTGACCATCTTTGTCCTCTCCACGCCCTATACGATACTTTGTATAATTGTTCCCATTTTGTAGATAAGGCATCCAAAGTCCCGCGCATTTGGCTGACCATCTCAGAATAACCTAGCTAATTCCTGATGGATCCAGGTTCTGATAACTCAGATCCATGATTGCTAACCTCAGGGAAGCACAGAAGCCATCCAAGAAAGTTTTCAAAGAACACACATCTAGGCCCTGCACCTTACCAACTAAATCAGAATCTCCAGAGGGAAGAGGGAGAGGGAGATGAGGGGTAAGGTGGGATGTGGATTTAGTAAAAGCCAGTTAGACGGTTCTTAGAGGCACATCGGTTAATAACACTGAACTCTGAAGGAAGCAGTAGCCATTTTCAAATATTGACATGCTGCCTTAGGAAAGAGATTAGTTTTAAACCTATAAAAACATTGAAAAAGTAAAATGAATACTCCTATACTTTGTACCTAGATTCACCATTTATTCACACATATTCTCTCCGTGTGTGTGTATATGTATATATTATATAAAAAATGTATATATATATATAATTTTCTGAACCATTTAGAAGTAGGTTGCAGACATCATGACACTCTATCTCCAGAGAATCCAGCATGTGCTTCCTAAGAACTAGGACAGCTCTTCAACGTAACCACTATAAAATTATCTTACCCAAGAAATGTAACCTTATTATACTATCTAATATACCTCAGTTATACAGTCTACAGTTAAATTTCCTCAGTGGCCCCCAAATATTTAGTATTGTTGTTTTAAAGATTTTATTTATTTATTCATGAGAGACATAGAAAGAGAGAGACACAGGCAGAAGGAGAAGCAGGCTCCCTGCGAGGAGCCTGATGCTGAACTCAGTCCCAGGACCCCAGGATCATGCCCTGAGCCAAAGGCAGACACTCAACCACTGAGTCACCCAGTTTCTCCTGTTGTCGTTTTAATCCAAGGTCCAGTCAAGGTGCTCACATAGTATGTGGTCATCATGTCTCTCCATTACCTTTTATCTAAAACAGCCCTCCCTTCTATATTTTTTCTTTCAAAGTGCCGACGTCTTTTAAAAGTCGAGGCCAGTTGTCCCATAGGATGTGACACAATTCAGATTCATCTGATATTTTTCGTCATGATCACATTCAGGTTAACATGTTGACAAAAGTGTGACAAAGGTGGTATCATACACTCCCCTTTGCATTGTATCAGTAGACAAACGCTATCCCATTGCCCATTGTTGGCAATGCTAAGTCTGCACACTTCTTAAGATTGTGTAATGGCTTTAAAGACAAAGTCTAACAGTGCATACTGATTATTTCATAAGCAAATATTTAACTTCTGTTTTCCTCAGAGAGCAGAGCAAGTTTGCAGTCTGCCTACCCACGAAGCCAGTCCTTTTTCCCTTCTCAACCCAGATGAATCACAGAGATTCATACCTTCCCTCAGGACCAGGAAAAGAGTATAGTGGCATAGGTGGCCAGGAGAGGCAGAAAAAGGGTTGACAGAAAAATGGGCTTGGTGTGTCATCCTTAAAGAAAGGCTCATCCAGAGCTCCCCAAGAGTCTCAACCTATATTAATCTGTCACGGATTCTCCAGCTTTTGGCCTAGGGTCTGGGAAGTTTGACAAGTTTAGCTGATAGGACATCCTGGTCAAGTGATACCCATTCTGCTAAAACCTTTCCTGGATAGGCCACTTTCTTCTACATACTTTTCTCCATTTGTAGAAATGCCCCAGGAAGACTGAGTGCAAAAATATTATAGTCAGGGATACATGACCTCAAAATTATAGGTATTTGAACTTAAACTTTCTGATCTCAATTGAAAATCTGAGTAACACCAATTTCTTGGATTTCAAGGGGAAACATCACCACTGTTTTCCCCATGGGCTAAAACTTAGACTTTTAAGAGGAAAGCACCTAAGACCAAGGTAGATTAGCCAGCCAGAGGGGAAGAGGAATTCTATCCAATAGAATCTAATTGGGTGTCTTCAAGTCCAGAGACAATATTTCCAAATGATTGATATATGTGTGTGATTTATACACACACACACACACACACACACACAGTCATACTCATTTGTACAGAGGCATACACATATATACAGACATATATGTATATACATTTTAATGATACTGCTTTTAAAAAGACGGAAAAACATTTTGATTGGCATTATACTCAATTATTAAGAAATTTTGCATTTGTATGAATCACTGAATATTTTAGGACTCTATCTATGCTTCTGGTGTCCTCAGGCTACAGCCACAAACACGCTCTGGGGATTCTTTTTAATGCCCTGGAATGCATCAGGTACCTTTTAAAATGCCCTGTGGAACTACTGGGATGAGATTTGAGGGGAAAAAAATGTAAGTAATGCTTACACTAGAGATGTAGAAATTGCTTCTGAAATCACCCTGATGTATGTAAAATTGAATCTATTTTCGCGGCATTAGGGAAGTGACTGTCTGGCTTCTGCATCGGCTTTAGGAGGCCCTGAGATGATTTGCAAATGTTGAGGAAGCACGGAGAAAGGCAGAGCACAAGAATACATGTCACATCAGAAAAGATTACAGAAGAATGTGCCCTGAGCAATTATTTCATTATTGAACAGGTGGGCTCTTGCCTAATTTAAACTCCACATCTCCCTGCATACCTTGATTTTTTCTGGGGCTTTCTATTCCAAATGACTGCTAAATTCTGCGGCAACCATTCAGTCAAGCCTGTGGATTTTGTATAGGAACAATGACCTCGGGGCTGGAAGGGTGATAGGGCTTTGTCAGCTACAGGCCTGGCTTTGGAGTGCTGCTGCATTCTTGAGAAAAGCGTGCATGTCACATTTCAAGGACAAACAATGTGCATTGTTTTCAGTTTAAAGAAATGCCAGCTTTTATTAAGTAATCTCATTTTGATCTTATTGCTCTGTATACCTGATTGTTATTTTTTTTTCTGAGATCTTTCGCTCACTGGGATAATTTTCCGCATCTTTCTTCTGATGCTGTCTTTTTATATACATGCTTACATCTTCTTCTTTATATCTTTTGTTCATAGTGTCATCTTCTCCGTGTTCATTTTCAGTCCAAATCAAAGTGCTTCAAAACAAATCCCTGTTGAATTTCTATGATAGTGATGCTAGCAGGCCAGGTCCAAGGACCTAGAGGGGGTCCCGCAGGACCAGCAAAGAGGGTCCCTGGCTGTGTGCCCAGGATAGAAATCAAACATGAGGCAGCAGGAGATGAAAGCAGAGTTTATCGAAGGTATAAAAGAGAGTGCAGGTACAGAGTGTCCAGGAGACTCAGAAAGGAAAAGGGATAGTCTTATATATATTTGGGGCCTGGAGCAGGGGGCGTTATTGAAGATGGTGGTCTGGTATACATGTCCACTCAGGCATTCAGGAACTGGGTAGACTAAAGACAAGAGAATAATTCTTATTCCTTGGAGCCAGGGTATCCTGGCATCAAGATGTCTAATGCCTGTTCTGGAATATACATATGACACCTTCATCTGGTCCTTCTCACCTGGTCCTTAGATGCTATCTGTTCTAAGGAAATCACTAACCCCTTGTCCCTTACAAGGGAGAACATACGCTGTTTGCATTCTTAGGTATGTATACAGTAGTGTCTTGCATATAATACATGTTTCTACTGAGCTTTTCATAGTTTACAAAAGTCCTTTTGTAAAATAAGGACCTGGAGCCAAAGGTCCTTATTCATGCACCATAAGATAGCTTGTACATTTATTATACCCTTATTCTACATTCAAGAAAATAGAGGTTCGGAGAGACTCTATGCCCCAAATCACCTAGGCATTTGCAGAGTCATATTAAGGATCTGTTTCTCTTGATGTCAGTTTGGTTCTATTCATCCAGCTCTGCAGAGAATTTGGGAACATATTCTCTAAAAGTACCTACAGTAAAACAGTAATAAGAGAAATAAATAATCAAGATCAGGAACACGTAAACAAAGACAAGAAGATGGAGACCAGGTTGGATTAAAATATAATTGTATTAGATTAAAAAGTAATCTAAATATGCAGGCTGGTAACTTTCAAATTCCAATTTGGTTTGAGCTTTCTAGTAGCAAAAGCTCAAATAGGAAAGTAACTTTCATTGGTACTTGGTACATACTAGACCAAATGCTTTATATAAATCCCATTCTTAAGTCTCCTAAGAACTCTATGAATTAGAAATGATTCTCACTCCAAAATAAGGGAACTGAGTTTTGGAGAGCTAAAATAAACAAGGCAGCATCACACACACAAAGAGTGGGGATGGGATTAGAAGC